TCTTGTGAATGGATAAACAAACTGTGGTACATTTAAACAATGAAACAATAACTGCTACAAAAAGGTATGAGTGACTGATATCTGCTACAACATAGATGTACCTTGAAAACATTACGCTAAATGAGAGAAGCCTGGCTGAATGACCTATGTACTATTAATTTGCGTTCAGAGGATATTCTCCATATGAAAGCTTTAGGGACAGGAAACAGATCAATGGGTGTCAGAGCTTGGGGGTGGGGAGAGACTAGCTACAGAGGGTCATGGAGTGATGGAGTTAGCAAAACTCATCTAACTATATATTCTGGGTGAATTTTATCCTGTGTAAATTATTCTTAATCATGAAGTACGGAGTTAGTGCTGGAGTCTGTCTTTGATGAGGCTGTACAAATTCCAGCGATGCCACTGCTCTATTTACCTTTCCCTAATAGGACAATCACAGCTACTCTCTTCCTCTTTGTTGTTACGGGCATCTGCAAGTCCCTCCGTTCTATTGCTCAGTGGTAAACATCATGTGACTAACCACAATCCAATTATCCATTCCTCTGCTGGTAGACCTTTGAAGCATTCCAGTATGGGGGCAGCCTTCCTTTTAGACTATCTAGTGTTCCTTGCTGCCAGGAATCCCTACCATTATGGCTTCTGCCCTGAGCACTGGACAGAACTGGCTTTGTATCTCCATAGGTCCCTTCCATACCTCTCTCCTTTCCTCCTGGACACCTCCTCTCTGCCTCCATTCCAGTGGCTAGGAAGATGGGGCCAGGTGTGGGCTGGAAGGAATGGGATTGTTCAGCAGTGGCACTTGCTGCTCACTTGATATTTTGTGTTGTTTACCCTTTGAGAGGAAGGTAACCCTCTTCCATGGTAGATCACTGGCAGCTTCATAACACAGCTCTTAGAATATGTGTTCAAGAACCAAATAGAGAACGCCTGGGCTGGGAAGGTGGCTCAGTGGTAAAGCGCTTGCCTTACATGCATGAGGCCCTGGGTTCAATTCCTCAGCACTACATAAGCAGAAAAAAGCCAGAAGTAGCGCTGTGGCTCAAGTGGCACTAGCCTTGAGCTGAAGAGCTGAGGGACAGTGCCCAGGCCCAGAGTTCAGGTCCAAGGACTGACCA